AAAAAAAAAAGGACCAGGATTGCTCATTTGATAGAGCCTCGTGGAACCCCTGAGACTATGGTACCTAGCTGCCTTTCAGATCTTGAATTGAACCCACACCTGTGGCTTCCAGCCAAACAAAAAGACAGGCATATGAGCTGAACATTTACATTAGGCAGATACACTCCTTGGGAGTATATCATGGGAGAATGGAAGGGATTTATATGCACAGGGAGGCAGCTCAGGGGGCAGGAGTGCATGGGAGGGAGGGACAAAGGGAAGAGGTGGCTATGGGGAGGAAGTGGGAAGAGAGCTGTTGTATTGTGGGAAATAGCAGTCAACATCATGAGACAAAGTGTATGTGAACTGCTGTATGGAAGATGAATTTTCTCTATAAACTTTCACCCAAATCACAATAAAATCTAAAAAAAAAAAAAAAAAAAAAACACCTTATGGACTGCAGTTCTATTGTGTAAGTGTGGGATCATCATCATGAAAAGTAGGGTTTCATAATGTTAAAAATGTTTCAAATGTTAAAACAGTCAAAGAGCTTATTGTTGTGTAGTACAATCAAGTCAATTCTGACTCATAGAGACCCCATGTAGACAGAGTAGAACTGTCCCCACAGAGTTTTCATGACTCAATGGAAGCAAGGTCACCAGGTCTTTCTGCCATGGAGGTGCTGGGTGAGTTTGAACAACCAACTTTCAGTTAGCAGCCAACCACTTAATCATTGTACCATCAGCACTCCTTCACAGCTCTGAAACCAAAAAACCTAACCCACTGCCATCAAGTCATTTCTGACTCATAGCGACCCCCATTGGGTTTCCAAGGTGGTAAATCTTTACAGAAGTAGATTGCCCCATCTTCCTTCAGCAGAGTAGCTGGTGGGTTTGAGCTGTCAGCCTCTGGTTAGCAGTCAGATGCTTTAGGCACTGTGCCACCAGAGCTCCTTTTCAAAGCCCTAGTGCCAAGCCCATACCCATCAAGTCGATTCAGTGTCTTGCATAAAAAAAACAAAAACCAAACTCATTGCCGTCAAGTGGGATCCAACTCATAGCAAACCCGTAGATTGCCCAACCTTCCTTCCGAGGAGTGGCTGGTGGGTTTGAACTGCCAGCCTTCTGGTTAGCAGTCAAATGCCTTAGGCACTACGCCACATATAGTGAGCATTAAATAAGTGTTTGTTGTTAGCAGCTGTCAAGTCAGCCCTTGGCTCATGTCAACCCTATGCACAACAGCACAAAACACTGCCCTGTCCTGCACCATCTCTATGATTGATTGCTGGTTTTCAAAAGTATATCACCAGGCCTTGGAAGCTCCACTGTAGCTTATTCAGCATCATAGCAACACAGAAGCATCCACTGACAGAAGAGTAGTAGCTGCTCTCAAGTGCATTGGCCAGTAATTGAATCTAGGTCTTCATGGAAGTGGGGACTTCTACCACTGAACCACTAACATTTCATACATAACTGTAAGTAACCATTATAATTGTTGTTGTTGTTATATGCCGTCAAGCCGGCCCCGACTCATAGCGACCCCTCCTTGGGTTTCCGAGGCAGTATCACTACGGAAGTAG